TGAATCTGAAGCAATGGCCTCTGAACGGGCTGGAAGGGCATAGTACCTAGCCTGGCCTCCCCCTCTAGGGTGACCTCAACCTCCCCGACCTCCACCTCGAGCTGGCTGAGGAGGTGGGGTGGCAGCTGGTGCTAGAAGAATGGCCGGAGGACCTGGTGGAACACGTGGAGGCTGATAAGTCTGTGGAGGTGCACCCCTCCTGGCTTTGGGGCAATCTCTAACCAAGTGACGAGTGTCACCACACTCAAAACAACCTCTCAGAGGGCGCGACGGTTGAGACTGACTCGGACCTGGCCTACTGGACTGGCTGGTAATAGCACCTTGAGTAGGAGGCATACTGGATACCGGTGGTGCATAATAGGGCTCCTGAGGTCTAGGAGGAGCTGGAACACCACTGGCTGTTGGAAGAGCTGAATGAACAGGGCGACTCACAAATCCCCTACCATGCGTGCTGCTGGTGCACGAGCTCCTGAATAATGAAGTATCTCGAGACCTCTTGGCCTCTCTCTCCTGTCCCGGGCAAACATGCCCTCCACTCTCCTAGTAATGCCCACTGCCTGCTGATAAGTGATGTCCATCTCCAACTCTCTGGCCATACTGGTCCGAATACTGGGGTGGAGTCCCTCAATGAAGCGACCAACCCTCTCTCTGACTGTAGCAACCAGAGCCTGCGCATGGCGAGCTAACTCACTAAAATGGACTGCATACTCCAACACAGTCATAGCACCCTGACGCAACTACTCAAACTCTGTGCGCCAAGCGTCCCTGAGGCTCTGAGGAACATACTCACGCAAGAACATCTCTAAAAACTAAGTCCAAGTGAGTGAGGCTGCCTCGTCTGGACTACTCAGCTCATAGGCACGCCACCACTGATATGCCGCTCCCCTTAGCTGGAAAGCGGTGAAAGAAACCCCACCCATCTCCACAATGCCCATAGTGCGGAGAATACGATGACACTCATCAAGAAAACCCAGAGCATCATCTGAAGCTAGTCCGCTGAAAGTAGGTGGGTGGTACTTCTTGTACCATTCAAGTCTGAGCTGTTCTGCCTCAGAAGCAGCTACCCTGATCTCATGCCGAACCGAAGCCACTAGGGGCATAAGAATATACTCTGGGGCCTGATCAACTTGGACCCTCTGCTCAGGAGTGTGGGATGCGAGAGTCTGTGCCCCTCCCCTAGCCTGAGATGTAGCGGGAGCTATCGGAAATAGTCCAGCCTGAACCAGAGTGCTGAACATGCTCAAGAGCTGAGCTAAAGTCTCTTGGAGGGCTGGAGTAGCAATAGGGATCTCCGGTGCCGGCCCTCCAGCTGAAGCTGCTGGGGGCTCCTCTGACGCAGCTCTCGCAGGTGCTCGGGCTGCACCGCATGGTCGTCCTNGATGTCAATAACTCCCACGACAAGGAGATCAAAGAAATATGATTGTTCTTAACAGTTACATAGCCTTCCAAAGATAAGTACGGACGTCTGCACACCGATCCATGAGACTCTAATAAATCGGCTTGTGACTCGCGACTCCTACGAACCTAGTGCTCTGATACCAACTTGTCACGACCCAAATTAACCCCCCGTAAGGTATCGTGATGGCACCTAGTCTTTATGACTAGGTAAGCCTAATATTGCGAAAAATATAAAGAAAACACAATATTTTAAAGATAAACAACATATTATAAATAGCCAAGAATAGTACCACTCGGCATATACAAAATAATTTCCCAAGACTATATCACTAAGTCACAAGCTGTTATAATCTATGTAGCTCTGTACAAAAGTCTAAAGATAACAAAGAAAGTCTCTCGGCGAGGGAGTAGAAGGGGACTCCGAAGATCTGCGGACGCAAGCAGTAGTACCTTGAAGTCTCCTAAAATCAGCAGCACGTACTAACCCCGAGGCTAATAGCTCGCACCTGGATCTGCACACGAAAACATGTGCAGGAAAAGGGAGCCCTCGGCTCAGAACAAAGTAAACACAATGGGGAATCTCCCGGGATACCGTCCCGTAGTTTCGAATGAATATGCAGTACAAGGGGATCTCCCGAAATACGTCCGTAGTCCCTAAAGTAAATATGCAGTGCTGGGGGATCTCCCGGAATACGTCCGTAGTCCCAAAGTAAATATGCAGTGTTGGGGGATCTCCCGGAATACGTCCGTAGTCCCAAAGTAAATATGCAGTATTGGGGGATCTCCCGGAATACGTCCGTAGTCCCAAAGTAAATATGCAGTATTGGGGGATCTCCCGGAATACGTCCGTAGTCCCAAAGTAAATATGCAGTATTGGGGGATCTCC